GCCCCCTGCTGCCACAAGGGGGTGCTGCCGGCACGGGCCCTCCCAGCCAGGGGGCAGAGCTGAGCCAAGCCCAATTGCATGCCCCACTCATGGGGGGCTGTGCTGGGGGTCAGGGCTGGGTGGGTTGGGCTTGAGAAGGGGACACACACTGCCCCGGCAGGGCCTTCCTGGGGATGAGAGGGGCTGGCGGTGCCCACAGCAAGCCTCCAGGTCTTCCTGCCGCGCCCACATGGACATGGGCCGAGATGGGAAGAGGCGCCCGGACCCCAGTGGTGTCAGCCAGGCCCCTGGGCACCGGGAGCAGCGGGCCCTGGAATTAGAAGCTCCCTTGTCAGCCCCTGGGTCCAGGCCCCAGGCATAGGCCGGCGTGTCCACGTGCAGGTGGGGCCAGTGGCCCAGCTTCTGATGTTCCACAGGAGTCCAGAGGGCCTGGGGAAGGGGCCGTGTTCAGGGAGCAGCCAGCCCCAGCGGGTGGCTGAGCTCAGACAGGAGCCGGGGCCGGTGCTGGCCAGGCTAAGGGGGCCAGGAGCCCAGGGGGTGGGCGGAGGCTGCTTCCGGCTCCATACACTGGGGACGGGCCCTTCAGTGGCTACAGCAGTTAGGCAGTGACCAGAGAAGGCAGCATAACCTAGGGGCTACAGCAGCGGTTGGGCACCAGGACGCCTGGGTTCAAGTCCCAGCTCTGCTCTAGTGACCGGGGAGTCGCTGGCTCTCTGTGCCTCAGTTTCCCCCTTCGATGACATGGGAGAAGCAGTGGGGTGGGTGGCTCTGAGCTTTGAGGGGCGGGGGGGCAGGGGTGAGGCCGATACCCCGGCCAGCAGGGGCCAAGGGCTGGGCTGGGACGGGGCAGCTGTAAGGAACAGGCCCAGGTGTGCCACGCAGCCTGGCCAGCCCGTACCCGTGCCTGGCCGACGTGAAAGCAGGCGCTGGAGGCAGCGGGGCCGGGAGAAGCTAAAAAGGCTTTATTGATAAATACGCAGACCCATAGACACCGGGAGAGCTGCCCCCTGCCCGGCCCCGCCCAGCGCCCGGCCTGCCTGGGAGGTGCCAGGCGACATGTGGCAGGGCGGAGTGCCCAGGCTGGCTCGCCCCAGGAGCTGGGCTCAGGAGGGCAGCCCGAGGTGCCAGGTGCCCTGGGCACCGCAGGTTCCCGGCGTCCTGAGAATGCGGCTCCCACAGGAAGAGGTTTGGTCTCAAATCTCGAAACCATTTTATGAGAGCGTCCAAGTGCCAATGGGGTGAGACAGGCCCCGCCCATCCCGCGGCCCCGCCCACCCCGGCAGCCCTTCCCGAGACTGCCAGGTCCCGACCTCCTCCAGGGTCAGGGTTTTGAGGGGGCCGCCGTGTTCTGATGGCAGGGAGCCCCCGCCCCATGGCTGCAGCAGGGGCGGGGAGGATCGACGCAGCGCAGAGGCGAGCGCAAGCCCCACAGGTGCGGCTCTGCCCGGGGCTGTGTGCCCAGCCGTGCCCAGCAGGCGAGTGCGGGCTGTTGCCTCTGGGGTGGAGACTCAGTTCGCCGGCTCCGAGGGCCCTGCTGGCTTTCCCTGAGGCCCAGCAGCCCCTGCGCCCGTCAGCCGGCCTGGCTCAGTTCCTGGGCACCAGCGGCTGGTTCACAATCACCTGGATGACAAAGTCCTTCTGGATCTTGGCTTCGTGCAGCCGCGTGCGGTCCGTCAGCAGCTTGCCGGAGAAGAACCAGCGCTGCCAGCCCGGCTCGATGCCCTCCTGCGCCTGCAGCTGCTTCTTCAGCTGCCCCACGGTGTCGGCCATGCTGGCGCTCAGCCGCAGGTCCTTGCCGGTGGAGAGCCGCACCTTGAGCGGGAACTCACGCCGGGCGCTGGGCGCCGGCTCCAGGGGCTCTGTGCTCTCGTCGCCGCCCCGCTCCAGGATGAGGTTGGCAGGTGGTGCCAGGCAGTACACGGGCAGCTGGTAGCGGTTCCCCAGTTCGTCGTAGCACTCGGTCAGGGACCCTGCAGGGGAGCCGGAGATGCCAGCAAAGGGGTGAGGGGAAGGAGCTGGAGACAGATACAGCACGGGCAGGAGCCACCGACAGCACAGACCCCTCTGCTGGTGCCCCTCAATCCCGACCCACGGCCCCCACTAGCCCAGCCCTGGGGTCCCCCCAGCTCTGCCCTACCAGTGCCCCTCAATCCTGACCCGCTGCCCCCACTAGCCCAGCCCTAGGGTCCCCCCAGCTCTGCCCTACCAGTGCCCCTCAATCCTGATCCACAGGCCTCTGCTAGCCCAGCCCTGGGGTCCCCCTGCCCCCAAAATAGCTGATGGTGCCCCTCAATCCCAATCTGCAGCCCGATGGAATTCCAGCCCAGAACAACCAAAATCCACCTCTCGAAGCTCTTTTCCCCCATTTCCCTGCCCCTGCAGACCCCCCATCCCCTGGGCCCCAGGGGGAGTGTGGCCTCTCAGACACCATGGCTCAGTGCCTGGGTGCCAGGGGTCAGACGGATTCTCCTTCTGGGATCTGAGAGCTGGCTGGGGGAGCTGGGGCTCCGGGACTAGACACAGCCAGGACCTCCCGAGCTGCACAGCTCAGACGCTCTTCATTTGAGTCTGGGAGAAGCCACCAACCCGAGCCACGTGAGCTGCCCAAGTGCCTGGAGCTGAGCCGAGGGAGCCCCCGATCCTGGCTGTGGTGATTGGGGTCTTGGAGCCTCTGCCCCCAGCACCCCCAGAGCAGGGCTGGGGCACAGGGAGCCCCTGCGGGCAGATGGTGTGGGTCCAGTGATGACCGGTGTGACGCTGCCCCATATTCATCCTAATGGAATGATTGTGACATAATTATGATGCACCTTGTACAAAATGTGTCATGTGAGGTGTCCATGGAAAAGTTATGATTTGCTGAATATGATTATCCTATTTGTAGGCAGGGATCATTTGTGTCTCTGGAGTTATGACTATTGACCATGTAACTGTATTTCAAATGTGCTTGCTCTGGGTAACACCCACAACTAGCCTTTCAGGCACAACAGGGAAGAAGCCAGATGGTGCTAATGGCCCATCAGCAGAAACAATGGGCCATGGCAAAGGCTTGTCCTCCCCTGGGGACCCTTCAGACAGCCTGTGGATAATGGCTGCTATGACTCGGGGAGGCATGCAAGGGCATGTGACCAGACCACAGGATTCTGAACTCCATTTTGGTACCTGTATTTTTCCACAAACTGAGCTGGGCACTTGGCTTGGAACAAAGGGGTTCCCGCCGTATGGAAAAACTAAAAGGGGGAAGTGACATCACCAAGGGGCCTCACTCCCTCTACAGCTCAACACCTGAGGAACAAAGACTGGTCCCAGGCTGGAAGAGAGGTTTCCTGCCCGTGTGTCGAACATCTACAAACTGCTCGTACTAGCGAACGGTGAGACACTGATTGATTCAAAGCCTATCTAGTATCTTAGGCTTAGATTGCGGTTTTGTTTATTTGCTGGGTAATCTACTTTGATCTGTTTGCTATCACTTATAATCTATCTTTTGGTAGTTAATAAACCTGTTTTATCTTAACCCGTGTGTCTTTGAGCGAAGTGTTAGGGAATCTCGGCTCTGTACCAAAGGCTGGTGCGTATCTTCCCCACAGCGAGGGGGAAGCAGGCTAATTAATGAGCTTGCACCATATAGACTCCTGTGCAGGACGGTATCATTCTGGGTTATGCTCCAGTAGAGGTGCAAGGCTCGGGAGCTGGGACATTGGCTGGTGCCTCCATTGTTGGTCAATGAGTGGCTCAGGTAAAGCACTCAGGTGACTCAGTTGGGTGTGTGGTGCCACCTACTGTAGCGTTAGGTGATAACGGGAGGGAGGGATAGCTCAGTGGTTTGAGCATTGGCCTGCTAAACCCAGGGTTGTGAGTTCAATCCCTGAGGGGGCCACTTAGGGATCTGGGGCAAAAATCAGTACTCGGTCCTGCTAGTGAAGGCAGGGGGCTGGACTCAATGACCTTTCAGGGTCCCTTCCAGTTCTATAAGATATATATACCTAACTCCATATATTTTTTTAATAACAGGGCCCAGAGGGGCTGGCTGTGTCTAATCAGCAGAGCAGTTTGAGAGGCCAACCCAGCTGAATGGTTTGGGAGCAGAGTGGTTCCAACAGCTTCCAGGCTTCACCCTGGGGGTACAGCCCACCCCTGCCAGCAGGCTCCAGGGGCTCCCCCAGTGCAAGGCCCACTCCTGGGTCACCCCCTCCCCCCGGCCAGCATGCCCTGCCTTGGGGGGCCCAGCGCAGAGGGGAATGGCCACAGTCAGCCCTGGCCTCTCTGCTGACGAGGGGCAGGGCAGTTAGTGTCGTGGGGCCCCAGATCCCTGCGATGAGCTGCCCCCCTGAACCCTCCCACCCTGCTTTGGATTCTTACTGGCCCCACTGGTATCTCCCCCTGCACAGGGAGAGGAATCTGTCCACCCCCAGCAGTTCTCCTGCAGCACGGCATCCCCCTCCCTGCCCGTGGGTCCCCAGCCCTGTCCCCCCTGCTGATCCCACCCCATCGGCCCCAGCCCACCGTATGTCCCCATCTTGCACCTCTGGCCCCAAGTCCCTGCCCCACGTCCCCCTCCTGCCCCACCAGCCCCATGTCCCCCTCCTGCCCCAAGTCCCTGCCCCATGTCCCCCCCCTACCCTGCTGGCCCAAAGTCCCTGTCCTCCTCCCCCATCCCACCCCAGGTCCCCATCCTGCCTGATGTGTCCACCCCACGCCCCCCTCCCACCCGCCAACCCCAGGTCCCTGCCCCACATCCCCATCCTGCCTACCGTGGGGCAGGGTGATACTGGCGCCGTCCAGGATGGCCTGGGCCAGCCCATGGTCGTTGGCCTCCACGGCGTAGGCAGCCGCCTTCAGGGCGTCCCAGATCTCCTTGCGGCCCTCGAAGGCGGGTGCCGTGTCCCAGAACTCGTCCCGTTTGCTGCGCAGCTGCCCGTCCGTCATGGGGTAGTCGCTCTTCCACTTGGGCCGCTCCTTCCGCAGGGGCTCACTGCGGCCTGGGGGGG